ATAAACCAGAGACTTCATCAGCCTGAGACCAGAAGAACTAGATGGTGCCAGGCTACCACCAATGACCGCCCTGACAGGGAACACAAAAGAGTCCCTGATGGAGCAGCAGAAAGATGGGGTGTGGAACTCAAATTCTAGTAAGACCGGACTTAATGGTCTGACTGAGACTAGAGGAACCCTGGAAAGCATGGCCCCTGGATTCTCTATCAGCCCAGAACTAAAACAATTTCCAAGGCCAACTTTTCAGACAGGGATTGGTCTGGACTGTGGGACATAAGGAGATACTTGTGAAGAGTGTGCCTCTTAGCTCAAGTAGGTACAAGAGACCAAAGGGGCAGCTTCTGTCCAGAGGTGAGATGGGAAGGCAGAGAGGGTTAGGAGCTAGTTGAATGGACATGGGGAATCAGGGATGGAAAGGAGGAGTGTGCTGTTGCAGAATGGGATGAGCAATTAGGGTCACATAACGATGTATGTATAAAATTCTGTATGGGAGACTAACTTGAAATGTAAACTTCACTTAAACTACAACAATAAAAAAAAAAAAAAAAAAAGAAAATGTGGTGTTTTCGTTTTCCAGTTTCCCAAACTAAATCCTTACTTTTGAAATTCAAAAAAGTTAGTTGGTGTCCTTGCCTATGTTCATTAGGATTTTCTTAGGCAAAATTTAAATTTTGTTTTTATTTTATAGTTTGGGTATACATACGGAGTAGTGGAGAAAGCTGGACCTCATTAAAAACTGGCTTATCTTAATCCACAAAGTAGATAATTTGCCCACAGATGATCAAGAATTTTTCCATGTGATGATGTCAGAAAAGAGTCTAAGCTGCACAATTTACCATCACCCAAAAGGCAAGCCTAGGCTTTAGAAGTATATATATTTTTTGAGCACAGTAAGTACATAAGTGGGAAAAATGGTTGCACAGTTTTTTTTCTTATTAGTATTCAAATTAAGTGAAAAACAGTGGATGGGGCAGCTTTCTGGCAAATTTCACATGGCCCTGCTACAACATTGTCTTGAATTTAGCAAATAACGTATGTTGTTGCTGTTGTTAGGTATCGTCAAATCTATTTTCGACTTATAACAACCCCATGTGACAGAGTAGAGCTGCCCCATTGGGTTTTGTAGGCTGTAATTTTTACGGAAGCAGATCGCTAGGTCTTTCTCCCGTGGAACTGCTGGGTGGGTTTGAACCACTACCTTTTTAGTTAGCAGCCAAACGCTTAACCATTGCATCACCAGGGCTCCTTAAATGACATATAAAGCAGGATAATCAAATCCTTCAAGGAGATACATGCTATTTCTAGTAACATGAGTACAGGATTTGTTTCTTCTCACTGAGTTTGGGTGCATATGTAATGGCTGAGTCCAAAAGGGCATGGCAAAATGATAGGTGAGCTTCAGGACCTCTTATTGTTCTCGATAATGTACTTGAGTTCTGCTTTTAGAATTAAAACATCTAATAGGTCATTTATATGTAAACCTGTCATGTTAAAGATACTTTAAAAATTCTAAAGTCAAATCAGGATTGGCATTGGGACTGTCTAGAGAGGACATTAGAGAAAACTAGTCCGTGTTCTCTAAGCAGTACTCTCAAAGTTCCTCTAGAAAAGGACTGGTTCCCCTACCTCTCACCCCTATTCATCAAAGACTGATATTTTTGTAAAATAGAATAAAAATAAGTTTTTTTTCCTAAAGGCATAACCGTCTATTCTAAATCTATGAACAGAACTTACGGTAACCTCAGCTAAAAGATACCGAAAGCAAAGACTGACACTAGTGTAAAGAAATGACTAGGTCCTGCCCAGTTTGGGATATATCACTATGAATTGGAAGGACCTGCCCTTTGGTCTTTACTAGCTATAGGATCCTTCTTAATCTTTCAAGTGTCATTTCCTCCTATGTAAAATGGGGACAGTGAAAATGATGTAATGTGGGTCTGGCTTGCAATAGTAACAGTGTGTGGTAATAACAGTGTGGTAATGACGTTAATTCCCTCATAGATTTCTTCCTTCTCCCAGCATCAACCTTTGGTGTTTTACAAGTGACTGAGGTTGCACTCTGGTGTCACCTCTCACTTTTGGC